CCAAATTTTTATAAGCAGAGAGGTTATGCTGCCAGTCAGTGGGGTGGGATTTCATGTGGAGGAAGTTGGAGGGCCTAGTAGGACTCTAGCAAAGGTGTGGAGTCCCAGGTTGCTCAGGTCTTCCTGCAGGGTCACCAGTGAAAATATATTTCTAGGGTGTAAATTGGCTAACCAAATCTTCTGGAAGGCTCATCAAGGAGTTTCAGGGTTATTGAGACATAGCAGAAGAAGTAGAAGAGGATTTCCAGGGGGACTGAGAAAGTGTTTATTCATGTATTGTTCAATTTTAGATAAGAATTAGTAAGTGGTTATTCATTTTTCATTAGTTTACTGTATATAAAGTTCTGTTTTTACTTGCTACCCTGGTAAGTTAGCCTGTAGTTTTGAGTGTTAGAAATAAGTTTATTTACATCATGTTTTTCTCGGGACTAATTGCATGTGGTTGGTTTTATAAAGTGGGAATTGCTGTGTGTGTTAATACAAATTTCATGTTTTGTTACGGTTGTAACTGATTCATATACATCCTTGAGCTTTAGGAACCATCTGTTTTCCACCCAGTATCACAAAAGAAGCAATAGTGAAACATTTTTCCTTGATGGTTCACGAAGCGCTCAATGTTTATAACAGCAAAAGAGGCCAAAAGACCATTAAAATAAAAACAAAAGCCATGTTCACACTGCAAACTTATGTCAACCTAAGCTACACTGACATTCAACTGCCATGGTTAATTCATTACTTGTGCGTGTGTATACTTGGCTCCTTGTGTCGGCAGTGTGCATACTCACCAGGAGTGCTTGTATTGATGCAGAGTGCAATGCACCGTGGGTAGGTATCCCACTGTGCAATTCACCACTATCCATCCGAGTGTCTCTTGGGAAGACTTTGCAATGCCAGATAGGGCTGATACAAGTCGCATGGGGTCAACTTCCCACAATGCAGTGTCTTCCATCTCATAATTTCATCTGCATCCCATAATGTTCATGTCTTCTTTTCAAAATCCCACAAACCCACGTGGCCCCCCTCACTGTCCACCATCTCTGACAGAAGCATGGAGCCTGCACAGCTCTCCATTAATTGTTTGCTTTCAGAACTGCTCAGCACCAGCCAGCATATGTTGTGGACTAATAAAGATGAATTATGTTCCAAAAAATAGAATTTTGTTCTGTGACATGAACCAGGCAATTTATAAAAAACATGTAAAACTTAATCAAATGTAATAAATTAAGCGAACAGAACTTATGAAGGAGAAAGAACAATCATGTTCATTTCAGGTTACGCATATACGAACCGTGACTTTACAGGTCAGTGTATGTGAAGCTGTACTTGTCTTTAATGTCCCCTGGGGTGGAGTGGTAAGGGCAGTACACTGACACCTGATGCTACTTGAAATGTTAGGGGAGTGCGGGGGCGGCTATAGGGAGGTCCTGATATTGAGTTCTCAATGGGCTCTAGAGGGAGATGAGCATAGGATTGTTGAACCTACATGTCCACCAGAATCTGCATCAAGGGGTTTGCTGCCTGAGAAGTGCAAACATCTTCTACACTATGTCACTCTCTTTTTCCTGCACCTTTCTCCTCTCCACTCTATCTTTCTCCAGTGTCTACAGTGGTGATCCTCTAGGCCCTGTGCTCATTCTCTGATGGAGCACTGGTTTGCAGAATCTCGTGGAACATGTTATCCTGAGTCCTCTTCTTTCTCCTCCGTATTTGGCTCAGGCATTCCACATGTGTAGAGGGGGAGACCCTGTAGGCCACAATGGCAGCAGATGCAGATATAACACACAGAAGTACCATTGTCGGTGTATTCACGATGGAAGTCGAAACTTAAGATGCTGAGTGAATTCACTCCCCTTGCTCCACACAAGTTATAAGTACTACATTCTTACTTTTTGCTTGGGATCGATGGACTATGGCACCAGTCACAGCACCAGCTATGGTGAGTGTAGCCCTCCCAGGGCTGAGGAAATGAGGAGGAAGTAGTTCGGTTTCATGTTTCGAGTTGTAGAAGGCAACGGAACTGAATACTGGCACAGTTTTCTACAAGCAGTAGTGATTTTAGCTGATATTTCACTCCTGAGGGTAACAGAGGCATTGAGAGCACAACCTGTACTGGCATCCCAATGCTGCCCTGGGTCTGTATGCTGCTGGCCTGTGGACTGCAGTGGAGCCTGCTGAAGTTATTGCTGAATGGCATGGGAAAGTGTCCTACTGTGGCAGGAGAAATAAGGCAGCCCTCCCCAGAAACTTTCAGCAGAGGATTGCAGACTACCTCCTCAAAAGTTTCATCGAGATCTCTATGGAGGATTCACAGGACATCCCAGTATACATACGTAAACTGGTTCCTGTGGCTTCCACTGTCTAACATTGGAGGAGACTAAAAAGCAGATAGCAGCTCTATATCTCTTGGTTGTTCTACTACCTCTTCTAGCACAAGTCAAGATGAGTAAATCAACATACGTATCCTGCTGCTTTGGGGTGCCATCCCTGTAATTTCAAAATAAACTCCATACTTACTGGAGGTTCTGGCCCCTGCATTGGGCTCTCCTGTGCTCAACTTGCAGTACTGACTGGACTGAGGTGGAGTCAGAAACAGATCTTGGCTCGTTGCACAGCTGGATTGCCTGTTTCTCATACTCCTCCTCACTGATTATGGCAAGGGCGTCTGACTTGAGCTCCTTGGTAGTATCCATGATGCTGTTGGGGGTGGTGATAGGGTCTCCACTGAGGATGGCATGCAGCTCTTTGTAAAAGTCACAGGTCTGTGACTGTGGATCAGTTGTTGGCTTCCTTGGCGTTCTTGTGCCGCTGCAGTTCCTTTGCTTTCATGTGGCACTGCTGCTGGTCCCTGTCATAGCCCTTCTCCTGCATCGCCTGAGCAATCTGCTTGTAGAGATGTCCATGTTTCTATGTCTGGTTCAGAGCTGAGCCTATGCAGCATCTTCTCCCCACAGGCCCTGGAGATCCAATATCTCCTGTGTACTCTAGGCAGGAGTGCGTCTGGAGGGTGTAGTTGGCATGGTCAGCTGAGCAGTTGCACTCAACAATGGACTGGAGAGCTGCTAGGTGTGATCACCAAGCTGGGAAATCAGGAAAAGCAATTTAAAAAACTTGCAGGGCTTTAAAGGGGAGGAGGACTTCTAGTCTATGTGACCCCTGGGCAGCAGAGGTCACAGTGGTGAACAGAGAGCTCAGTGTAGGGTATTGTGGTACAGCTGCTGGAGGCCAGTAATGGTCGATGTAGGTAACGCAGTGTCTACACTTCCACTGCATTGACCTAACTACATCGACCATGACTGTACGCCACTCGGGGAGGTTGTGTTATTAAGTTGGCGCAGCGAGGCACTTACATCGGCAGAGGCCAAATTTAAGTGAGACTCGCGCACAGTTAAGTAGATGTAAGCTGCCTTGCGTTGACCTAACTTTGTAGTGAAGACCAGACTGAAGTCTCATGGACTTCAGTGGTTTTTGGATTAGGCTCATAGTGTTTTGGTTATGTGACTGTTTCGTGTAGTACAGGGGTTCCCAAACTTGGTTCGGGGCTGCCCCTGGTGGGCTGCGAGACGCTTTGTTTACATGAGCGTCTGCAGGTACGGCCGCTCACAGGTCCCAGTGGCTGTGGTTCACTGTTCCCGGCCAGTGGGAGCTGCGGGAAGCGGTGCGAGCCAGGACACCAGTCCCTGCAGCTCCCACTGGCCAGGAACAGTGAACTGCGGCCACTGGGAGCTGTGAGCAGCCGTACCTGCGGATGCTCAGGTAAACAAAAAGTGTCTCATGGCCTGCCAGGGGCTTACCTTGAACAAGCCACGAACCAAGATTGGGAACCCCTGCTCTAATATGAACAAAAAAAATCAGTTTGTTTGATATCTACATTCTGTTTCTCATTTTATAACAATCTGTCATAAAACTGTGTACCATTGTAGTCTGATAGATGTAATATCTAAAAACCTATTTCAAACATATATTAAAGCTTGTTTCTTATATGTGTAATTTCATGTCCCACTAATGTCAGTGGTTCTCTGATCAGTTGTAAGAGTCCACCTCTATTAATCCCTTTGGAGGATCAGGGCATAATTTGATAAACATTTTACTACTGTTGCAGCCATAAGTCTATAATTCATATCAAATGCATAACAACGTAGACTGTGACAATTCTAGTTATATAATCCAGCTGTCATGTTTACCAAATGCCCTTGTGCAGAGTTCTGTTGGGGTTGAGGAAAAGCAATATTATTTTCAACTTCTTTCCAAAGTATAGATATAGGTCCATATTCTGGATTGATGCAGGAAAAAGTTCTATTTAAATATTTCTGAGACATAGAAGCACAATTCTACATCTGCAAAGATGTTTCTGTCTTTTACTATTCTTATGCCAACTTGATGGAGACTGCACAGATTCTGTTTCAAACTTAGTTTCTTTATTAAACGCGTTCAGGCTGAGACACTTAGCAATCAATGACTTGGTCATTGGTCTTGGTCTTGGTCAGTTTTTACTTTTATGATTAAACTCTCAACTCCCTAAAAAAAGTTGTGTAGTGGAAACACTGGTATAACATTTTAAATGGTGTAATAAATACAAAACTTAATTTTGACCCAGCTACTTTATTTCATTAGTTCAAATGTATTTAATCGTTTGTTGCTACAGCATATGCTTTTGGGTATCGGGTCTATGCTGTTTGCCTACACAGTATGATATCTACCATAAAAAATGTGTTTATAGCTAATGAAAAATATAAGGAGTAAAGTAATTTGTTTTTAAAACTCATTTTCTCTTGTTTTTAAAAATATGCAGCATATTTATGTTCAGTCTCTTTAGAAACATATATTTCTTTGTTTGTCCTTGAGAATGTTGATGATGATGGGGCTCTGGAAGACAGATGCCCATAGTAGGTAGAGAAGGTCCTTTCCTAGGTACAAACACCTGATCCTTCCATGTAAAAAAAAGAATATGATTCTTTAATGTGTGTGTAATATTGATGTATCCATGTTTTACATTTTTTTAGAGCACTCTTCTTTATGCCTTATCACAATCTTTCTGAGGCCTAAATACAGGTAACCATTTTTGATTTAATAAAGATCTTTGAAACTAAAAGATAAACTCTGATAAATGTATTTTTAATGATCAAGTAAAAACTCAAGTAAAAGTTGAAACTTATAAGCACCTTGTTATTCATCAATGGTCACAGGTAATTTTGCTCTTCATGTTATGGGGAATTATGCTCTATCATCAATGGAAGAATAAATCTCTTATGCTAGCTTTCTAAGGAATGTGTCTAGTGCAGTGGTTCTCAAACTTATTTGATCAGGCCGCCTTTCTTTGTGTCTGTAGTCGTTTATGTGCTCCCTCTCACCCCCAGTATATATACCACTATGCACCTCTGAAGGCAGAGCAGAGAGAAGTAACTGCCGACCGGGCGCCTAGCTCTGAAAGCAGCGCCACGCCAGCAGCAGCAGAAGTAAGGGAGGCAATGTGAGAAGCTATATTTGTCATCACTTTTCGCAGTAGACTTAGCGCCCCATTGCCACCCCAGGGCTGACAGCCAGAGCCCCACCGTCTCCAGGTGAGGGGATGGGGGAAGGAGTGCCCAAGCCCAGGTGGCGGGGCTCTGGCTGTCCCCTTTGTCCCCGCCTCCCGTGTGATGTCAGCCCTTCTGCATGAGCCCCAGCCAGGCTCTGCCTCCAGTTCTCTTTGTGACTTTGAGTGACTTACTTAACAACTCTGCCCTTCCATATCCCAATTTGTAAAAATGGAGTCAGTATTATTTGCCGTACAGTACTGTGCAGCTTTAAATGTTTGCAGAATGCTTTATCATTGGATGAAAGGAAGTTTCAGAAGTGCTAAGTATTGTTAAAGTACTGAAGTATCTTACGCACTCCACAGGTCAGGATGTGTCTGAGTTTGTTCATTTACCCTAATTTAGAATGGCTGCTGTTAATATATCTACTTTTTTTCATTGATAGAAAAATTCAAGTCTGTAGGCTCATAGTGTTTGGACTGTGATGCTTGGAAATTGGTATTGCTGTTCCTTGGTTAGAGAAAGTGCAAACAAAATATTTCATCTTAATGAAAATGTATTAATTTATCTATTGGGGAAAGTTTAAACTACTTTACTTTTGCTCTTGTATCCTTCATTTTGAATATCAGCAAACAGGCTGCTAGGTGGCCACGTGAAATGAGATTAGTGAGCATACTGGCACTCCCATTTTCTCAAAAGAGAGGCCAAGAAATAAATGGTAAGGGAGGTTAGAAGTGGTCCCTCAAGATTAAAGATTAGAAACATTGAGAGGCAACCTAGAGTCGTTGCACTGTTGCAACCTGTATGTGTATTCTGAGGATACATGGAGAACCTCACAAATACTATAGGTGCTTTACAAAATAAATAGTTTTAAGCTTGAAAAATTAAACAAATATTTTTAAAAATATATTCATGCATGTGGCTTCCATTAAGAAAACTCGGATGAATATATGCCCTTTATTTAGAGCTGTGATTATTCTCATGGGGAATTTAACTTGGAAGTTGGGGAGGTTCTCATGTTTGTACAATCTTGGGTTTCCTGATTTTGGAAGAGGAGGATTAAGTGCTTTATACTAAACCCTTTTTTAGCATGTAATTGTAATTCATTAATTAGGGAATACTACAAAAGACAGTGTGTCCCCTGAGAAAAGAAGACCCAGCTGTTGGATTTCCTGAAGGTATAGTACATGTCATCTCCTCCCTAATTAGGTTTCTTGATGCTAGGGAAATAGAGGGGCAGTTCCATTCTCCCTGTCTTATTCCACTGTAAAAACAAACCAAAGAATCTGTATCCCCTCCCTTTAACAAAGTCAGTTTTGTATATAAACACAGTTGTTAATAATCAGAAATGACCAAATCCTGTTCCCTTTCAAGTCATTTTGAAATTTTGCCTTTGACTTTAATGAGCACAGGATCTGGCTGGCTCAAACTGTATATTTCACAGTTGATTGCTATATGACTAATGTATAACTTGTGTCTTAGGACAGTGGTTCTTAACCTTTCCAGACTTCTGTACCCCTTTCAGGAGTCTGATTTGTCTTGTGTACCGCAAGTTTCACCGCACTTAAAAACTCTCTGGCTGCCCAGCTCTGAAGGCAGTGCTGCTGCCAGCCGTAGTGCAGAAGTAAGAATGGCAATACCATACTGTGACCCCCTTACTTCTGCACTACTGCTGGTGGCAACGCTGCCTTCAGAGCTGGGCGTCTGGAAATTGGGGGCTACTAGCTGGGGCATTCATGCTGTTTGCCGTGCGGGAGGACTATTTTTTTAATCCTGCTCCTGTCTCGCCCCGCAATACCCACTCCACCCGCTCTGACATGGTTTGTTGAATTTTTATCCCTCTTCCTCTGTTATCGCAGCGGTACATGGGGGATCCCTGTCCTGCTTCAGGGTTCTAGAGCCTGTTGTAAAACTAGGCAAATAAGATGAGTTGGCATACCGCTTGGAAGGTTTCTGCGTACCCCCAGGGGTACAGGTACCCTGATAGAAAACTGCCTTAGGAGATCTGAATTTAATGCAATGTGGGGAACCAAGGGCTATTTTCAAAAATAGGTGCTTAAAGTTAGGTCCTAAATCCATATGTAATCACCTAAATGTGGACTTAGGCATCTAGCTTTAGACACCTATTTCTTGAAAATCTTGGCTGATATTTTAAAAAAGTTTCTCAGCTTTTTCTTATCAGTTTACTGAATATATCAGTCATACAAACAAGATCACATTTTATTTCCCATTTGAAAAAATGTGTGATACAGCTTATCACTTTGAGTCCATTTCAGCTGCCTTTACCTTTTATTGCTGCTGAATAAATTAGAATGTGGGAGTTGTAAGCGCACATCCCTCCAATGAAGCTGTTTACATTCCTAAGTTGCATTTCGGGTTTTTTTGCTATTGTAGCGTGCAGTTCTTTGCATGTTCTAATTTGCCATGACGTGGTCAGTGCAGTTTCCTTCCTGTAGCTTGCAAGCCTGTGCTAGAGATAAGGATACATTTACAGTACATTTTAAAAAGAGAGGCTGCTTAGTGTGAGAACTCAAGGGCTTTCTGGATTTTAGAAGGATTAATTAAAAAAGAGTATGTATTTGTTTTATCTAGTTTATGCTTCAGGAGTTAACCAAGATACAGTGAATCATCCATTTAACTGGCAAAATAACAACTTTTCAAAATTGGACTAGCAAATGAGGAGGAGAAAACAATAGTACCTGATGTATTCAATAACTTATTAGATCGCTCTAGGATTGTATATTTGCCTTGAATTTTCTCTTAGATACATGGGTTCATTAACAAGTATGGGAGCTGAATGCTGTGTATCAAGTGAAAAATAAAATGTCAGTAGCTATTGTATTTAAATCTTTTTTGTTTTTACTTCTCAGTATACTACTCTTATTTTTATTTTAATCTGATACACTTTGAAATTAATGTCCAACTTGGTGAAGCAGACTGAACGGTTTATGAAGCACACTAAATTAAACATGTTCTTATCTGTAAAAATAAGATCTCTAAAGATATGGGAGTGTCTGACTTTATGTGATGTAGATTTGGATCTCTTTATCACTCTGAACAAACTTTTATGGCTGTGCTGTACAGTTAACGCAACTGCTTATTCATTGTAATATTTTTGTTTTTCAGGGGTGAAAGGTTATCTATCTGAGGACACATTTCAGGAAAAGTTTCCCCGGGTTTGTTTATTTTTGAGCAGGGAAGAACCCAGGAAGATTGGCTGTCCAGGAATTATTGTCCCAGACACTTGATTCATTTCATAATCTTGTTTTCCTGCCTGACTGGATCTTGGAAACCGTCTCCATTCCTTTACATTTAAGAGCATTTTTTTTCTTTTGTGGAACTGAGACCTGGGAATGCTTTATTATGGCAGCAGTTGTACAACAGAATGAGCTCGTGTTTGAATTTGCCAGCAACGTCATGGAGGATGAGCAACAGGTATGAGATTAAAAAAAAAAAAAAAAGAAGCTATGTTAGTTTGTCAGTGATGCACGTATTCTAAAAATATCAAAAAACGTCGCCTTTTTTTTTTTTTTAAGCTAAGCATTGAGATCATTATTACCACAGAAAATGTTTGCACTGTTTCGAAAGTTCACTGTTGCTTCATGCAGTGTGTGTGTGTGAACAAAGCAGAAAATAGCTCAAGCGCTCGGTGGTCATCGCCTTGTGACTTCTGTGATATTGAAGAGACCATTTCTTCATTGTTAACAGATCTGTGCCAGTAGGTCCCACTGGTCGATGCAGAATTCCAAAGCCCTAGTATTTAGCAGTCTTTTTAACCCTTCCAATACACTTGGGTAAGATGATAAATATGGGGAGTCTGCTACTCCACAGATGGCCAGAAACACTACCAGGAGGTTATCTTGGATACCGTATGTTCTTGACGGGTTGTTTTCTGAACTGTATCATTAAAGGGTTTTGTCAGCTACTCAAAAATGCAACTAGCGATTTAAACTCCAATAATTTATTTAGGCTAGTGTCTGTCACATTACCAAAAAAAACCCCTCCATCCCCTTCAAACCATTCTCTCAATTAGTTATTTAAGCCAGGCCCTGTGTCTAAATGATGTAAAATGTGCCTTGACACTATCGTGAAGGATTCCTTAAATGCAAATGATAATAATCCATGCTTATGGAGGGATGAGGGCAACTGCTCTGAAGAGATTTCAAATGCCTGTTAAAGGTAAGCTTTGTATTTGTTAGTAAGAAATTTAGCAATGCAGTATTACAGGGAGGCAGTTTTCAAAATGCTGCTGAACACAGTAACTGTCTGTCCAGGTCATAATATCTTTTAAAATTTTTGTGTGAAAAGCACCTACCTATCCCTTCTCCTTCTACAATACTTCTGGTTTTGTAATCATGCTTCTGGCTTTTTTTTTTTTTTTTATTAACATGACCTACCTAAAGGGCTGTGATTGGCTAACATCTGCTGTCACTTACTATCACATGCTTCCAATGAAACTGAATGTGAACTGCTTACTCAATTTTGGGTGGAAGTTCTGGCAATGTAACTTCCTTCCCTGTATTTTTTCAGAGTTCATGACAGCCCAGGGATTCAAATATTGGAATTCCATAAACTTAGTGGAAAGCAAGCCTTATTTATTAGCATTATATATTGTTGTTCTCACTTTCCCAGCCAATGGGAGAGGAGAATGCTGAGAAAGTAAAGGATGCTTCATTCCAACTTCATAGAGAAGAAATTAATCTAACATGTTTTTGCTCTGTTTAGATATGTTTTTATTTAGACAAATGGCAATAGGCATAAAATATAAAGAACACGATCAAATATTTCAAGAGGGCAGTATAAACCTCCCGTAAGAGTTCTTCAGCCTCAGAACAAATGCCTCCCTGGCATTCATTTTGGAAGCCCAATAAATCCTACTCTAGAAAAAGCCTAGGAAAACAGTCTTATCGCATGCCCTAAAAGTAACCCAATTAAGGCTGTGACAGACTAATGGGAAAAAGTGAACTCTATAACGCCAAGGACCACTCAGTGAGAATACCTTGCTCCAAGTTCTTTCCAAACCTGGGGGATCTTAGCTCAATTGCAAGAGATGAGGATAAATCTAGAGGTGGCTGATTTATGAGAATGAATCTTATAAAAAGGGACATTCTTCTTCGGAAAAATGTCTGAGTGGTTAAAGTAGAAATTGAATATGGGCGTGTCATATTATTTTTGTTACCAAAAAAAAAAATGCTGTATTAGAATGTATAAATCAGAGGGATCATGTGGTAAGACCAGGGAGGTAGTTAATTTTATACAGAGTTGTTAAGGGTTTTGATTTCTGTGATGGATAAAATTGATATTTCTGTTTATTTGTCCAGAACTGACAACTAGAAAGTTGTAGCCCTGAAAATATTTTTACTGGTCTAACAAAGATCTTTTTTCTAGCTGAGCTTTGAGTATTGGTTTCACCCAATTTAATTTTTTTAAAATTATTTTTGCTGTGTTTTTGAAAATTAGAATTTAGGATTGAAACAATATAAGGAACTTTCCTGTTTTTAATAGCTCTTAACATGTAGTTTAGAGACCATTTTCTTTCTGGAATTTAAAGAGGGAGACTGTTTCAGAGAAAGTTTCAGTATCTAGATTCTGGCTGTTTTCAGTACTTTTGGGAAGTCCTAACTCATTCTTCTTTTCTTTCTTTTGTTATTGTCTTACTTCAGCTCTTAAAATCAACTTATGAGTCATCTATTTGCAAATTTAATCCAGCTCAGCCAGTGTCAGATGGTGCTAGAGGTGGGATTTGAATTACTCCACATGAACAGGAAATATGATTTCTTCCCTTACCAGCTTTGTCCATTTCTGTTTAAGAAATACTGATATATATATTTTGCTTTCTCAGTGGCCCTTTTTGGAGTGTGCAAGTGTGACCATGCACAAATAACATAAAAACTTCTTCTGTGCTTACTCTACTAATAGGATTACAGACTCTGTTGCTACACAGAACAGATCCTGCTTAAATAGGGATGATTCTGTTTTTGCATGGAGTACCATCAGTCTGAAACTAGGCTGCACCTTCTAGAGCAGGCGTGGGCAAACTTTTTGGCCCAAGGGCCACATCTGGGTATGGAAATTGTATGGTGGGCCTTGAATGCTCACAAAATTGGGGTTGGGGTGCGGGAGGGGGTGAGGGCTCCAGCTGGGATTGTGGGCTCTGGGATGGGGCTGGGGATGAGGGGTTGAGGGTGCAGGAGGGTGCTCTGGGCTGGGACTGAGGGGTTTGAGGGCAGGAGGGGGATCAGGGCTGGGGCAGGGGACTGGGGCACAGGAGGGGGTCAGAGGTGCAGGCTCCAGGTGGCACTTACCTCAGGCAGCTCCCAGAAGCAGCGGCATGTCCCTCATTCTACACAGAGGTGCAGCCAGGCAGCTCTGCACACTGCCCCGTCCACAGGCGCTGCCCCTGCAGCTCCCATTGCGAGCATTCCCAGCCAATGTGAGCTGTGAGGGTGACACTTGGGGTGGGGTTGCTGTGCGGAGCCCCCTGGCTACCCCTATGTGTAGGAGCCGGAGGGGGGACATGCTACTACTTCCACGGCACATACAGAGCGGGGCAAGCCCCCAACTCCGCTCCCCTGGCGAGAGCTTGAGGGCCGGATTAAAACATCTGGAGGGCCGGATGTGGCCCCCAGGCCGTAGTTTGCCCACCCCTGTCCTAGAGGCTCCAATTCTGGCAGATATGCTCCCTAGCACAGTTCCTGCCTGTGGCACATAATAGTCAGGTCTCCCAGGGGCTGTGATACTTTGGTCTAATTTTGGTTGTTGGGTCATGGTGATGTCTTTCTGTATGGCACAGACCATGCTAGATGACATGTTGGTCTCTTCTGGTCTTACTCTATGACTCCTCTCTCTCTCTCTGTCTCTCTCTCAATTCCTCCCTCCCCCCATTCCTTCACTGCCTTTCAATTGGTTAGGAAGTTCCATCCTTGAAACAGTTGCATTTTAGCGGCCACAGTACTTTCCCAAGGGTATATAGGTCTGGCAGTGATTGGGGATCAGACCTGGTGCTATCCCTGACAGGGTCTTTATGCCCTGACTGCCACTTTTGGCCCTTCACACTCCTCCAAGAGGAAGGGAAGACCTCAGAGGGTTGGCCTGTCAATTGTTTTGAGATGCCATGGCACAGATTCACAGAACAGTGCAGTCAAGTTTGTGGGGACTTATTTTCTCCACCTTTTGGCCCAATTCCAGTCTGCCTTCAGTAGTCTCCTTTGCTTTGTGGATGGCCACTTCCTCTCTCCCCTCTCAACTCCAGAGTCAGAGGGCCTCTGGATCGGGCAATAAATGTTACTCTCTATCTCCATGCAGAGTATCTTTCAGACAGATTCTCAGTCCCCTTCCCACATTCCTGATGATCTGGCTGTGGGTCAGTTTAGAAGGATGGATTGTCTTTGACAGGGCTGATGGAACTGAAGTCAGTTTCTGAATGAGGAGGACTCCCATATTCAGAAAGCTCCTAGGAAGTCATGGTTCAGGTCTCCCTTCATGGGCTTCCGGTTCCATGGGGAGCACACTGCATTTATCTGCTCCCGAGAAACTGCTGTGAGACCTTTTTATCTCTCATGTGCTGAGGTGTGGTGGACACCTTGTCAGAAGCTCACTCTTCTGGTTTCACAGGCAGTCTCCATCAAGGAAGGAGAGGATCTCTGACTTAGTAATTCTATCAGACTTCTTCTGCCATTCATAATTTGTACAAGATTGCTCTTGTGACTAAAATAACACAACTACTAGTAGTCTCAATTTTCTATTCTATTGGGATCCAAGTACTTTTCCTCCAGTTATATTATTGAGACAGGTATGTAAAATCTGAAATAAAATTGCCTCTTTCTCTTGTCACTTACATATCAGTTTATTTCAATAGAAGCTTCGTTGGGTGTGGGGTGGACGAAATTTTATTGATGAAATTTGCAAGTGCAGTCTATGTAAAAAAGTAGTTTTGGCAATAACAAAAGACTCTTTTTACAAAGTTTCATTTTTCACTTAAAGCCTACAAGTGTACATATATTTTCTGTGAGTAATTACAGAATATTTGCTGTGGGCTTTCTATTCTTAATATTGCAGGAAAGAAAACCTTTACTTTGCATCTTATGAGTATGCAAACCCAAAAAGTGGTGATCGTGTTTTTTTTTAAATGCCACTAAAACTGTTGATTTTTGCTCCTACTCTTCTAGGACTATAATTTATTTAAGTCAGCTTCACTTACCATATGACAACATGGCTATTACTAATAATTTTCTGTATCCTCCAGGTCACTTTTTCATTATGTTCACCTTTTCCTCCCTGAATCGTATGTCACTAAGCTCCTCAAATAGTTATTTAAGCATAGGGCAAAACTAAGAATTATCCTAATAGTGTCTTTTGGCACTGTATAAATTACTGTGATGGGATATGCACTGTAGTTGTAACCATATCGATCCCAAGATATTTGAGAGAGGTGGGTGAGGTAATATCTTCTATTGGAGCAACTTCTATAGGTGACAGAGATGTTGGGGATATTTAGTTAAACTACCATGGTGGGTGTATTCAGGACAGTAGTCCCCAGGCATGGTCAGAACACAATTGTAGGTTGTGCTAAACCACGTTCCTGAGCAATCCTACAGATTGATAAAATTCAAGGCTGCAGTACAGTTCAGTAACACTGTCAAAATATGATTCAGTCGTGTTGGTAGTGCAAGACTGAAGATGTTTTAAAAATGAACAGATTACTGACCTATTGTATCTAGTTCCACAGCACTTTTACTTCTGCTGTGCAGTGTAGATGGGACCTTAGAAAGCTCTGGACAAGAATTTCATTTACACAAAACTTGTTTCTAAATTGTAAACGCTCTTCCTTGTTTTTAGTAAAAAGTGTTTCTTTGGATTTATTCTTCTGAAGCGAAGTAATTATTTAAAACCTACTCCCTTGAAGAATGACAATATAGTTCACTTGCTTTCTTTGTTCAGGGGTTCTCAAACTGGGGGTGGTGAACTCTCAGGGGGTTGCGAGGTTATTACATGGGGGGGTCACAAACTGTCAGCCTCCACCCCTAACCCCGCTTCTCCTCCAGCATTTATAATAGTGTTAAATATTTTTAAAGTGTTTTTAATTTATAAGGGGGGGTTAAACTCACAGGCTTACTGTGTGAAACGGGTCACCAATACAAAAGTTTGAGAACTGATGCCTTAGTTCCTGTTTCTGAGGAGGCTGAGGTAGTGGCACAAAATTAGGTCATTAGAGAGAGAGCATGTTGAGCCAGAACCATTTTTATAGAGAAAGGTGCTAATGAGAAGGGCTGGCTTTATGGGCAAATAAAGTAAGCAACATTTTCAGCTACCAAGCTAGTGCAACAGCAGAACCCTAAGGAAATGAACACCTCACTAGCAAAGAATCTGTTTCTAACAGGACTGGAAGAGGAGACTGACTGTTTAAGGCTTTTTTTCCTCCTCACCCTCTTGCCATCCCCGTTCCAGCATCTTGAGCTTCCCCCTTGTTTGGTTTGGGGGTCGCAACATTCATAAGGCCTACTCAGCAATGTTGAAAACATATAAGCTCTACTCTGGGAAGAACGTTTAGAAGCTATTCTAGCTAACATAGTTTCCCTTGAATGTAGGTGGCACTTCATAATTTAGGGATTCATGCATTACTTTTCAAAATTGTAATCCAAGACTTTCATTCAAATCGAGAGAAAATATTTTTCCTTTGTAAACATGGCATGACCTTCAAATCCTGATAATTTAGGAGGAGTTTACGTTTAACCATTGAAATGTTCAGAATTAGCAAATGATATGAGAGGATGTGGCATATTGCACTATATATATTATAGGTGGGACTGGTAGCACTGTCTATTATTAAGGTTGCGCCACACTTCTCACTACAAAGCTCTGTTTTCAGCTGCTTATAGCTAGGCTTGGAAGGATTAGATTTTTGTTGGTAGCTGTCGATTTCACTTTACACACACAGATCGATGAAAAAATATTTCCATTTTTAATAATTGAAATTTACAGATCGGCAAAGTAAGAAAAATGCTGCTTGAGAACCTGCTTGGTTTAAGGATATTTACTTTGTATATTTTGACATGTGATATTGAAATTTTTGTTTTTAAAGGCTATAAAAGTTTAACTTTTTTTATCTCAGTGCCTGCTGTCATTAAATAATTATCTGACTCCCTATTTTTTGATCCCCGCCATAATTTCTCACAACTTGGAAAATTTAAATAGATAAATATATGGAAAAATGCTTAAAAATAAACATTGATATTATCCATCAAAACGATATAAAAAAAATTTTGAATTCTGCCAAGCTAACTTATAACTTTTCCAAACATTACGTTTTTGGGCTCAAATTTTCCATGCTGGGTGTCTGCCTTGGACTCATTTTTTAATTTCAGCCAAATGATTCAACCATTTCCGAGAATGAGATGAAGGAAAAATAAGTTGATTTGCTCATGTTAAAAAGTTTTCATGGCCTTTGCTTTAAAAAGCTCTGATACCTCACGCTTTGGGTCACAGACTTGAAATGTGGGAGGGGGATGCCTTTGTGTCAGGCAACCTTATTCTGGCATTTTAAATGTTTTGAGTGCTTGACTTTTCAACCTTAATACTCTTAACATTTTTTTTCACCATTTTTTCACAATACGTTTCTGTCTTGGTATTGGTTATATTGGGGAATCTCAAACTTTTTCATATCCTGGACCACATTTTAATAGTGCAATTGTCTCTTGGAGATCATTTACCCTCTGGTTCATGATCACATAACACCCTGGGGCAAATAAAGCAATTTCAAACTCATAGAAAGAATTGGACTTTACCTCTTTTTCATATGTTATTTTGTCCCTTTGTCTTTTTTGCTTTTCATTTCAACTCCCCTCATATCTGTTGTGGAAACAAATAGACCCAAAACCATGTGACCAGCCAGATCTCTGAAGACCAACAGTGGTTTATGGGCCAAAGTTTGAGAACCTGCAGGGTAGATTACTGGTTAGTTTATATAGAGTCTTGTGCAATTAAGAAAATTAGTTGACTTGGTTCTTAAATGGGATAATAGTTTTGTGAGCCATTTTGATATAATATTAATAATGCAGACTGATTCTGATTGACTCACATGAGAGCACACCTTTGGGGTTCATTAATAAGTCTTAGTGAAGCTCATTATTCTACTGAACTGCTTAGCAGCAGTCATCTTTTCTGATGCTATGACTTTGTGCCCTTTCTCTCTTGGAGTCACTCTTGTTCAGACTTGCCTCTCCTCAGCTCTAACCTGTTCACTTCCTAATTTTTGCAGAACTGCCAGAGGGGCCTTACCTAGGTCTCCTTTTTGACTATTTTATTGGTCTTTTAGAAGTTATTTTATTTTGATTCCTGTATTTTGAGGAACTTACTTGCTGAACTTCCATAATGGGCTTTTGTGTATCCTGAACTCTTAACTCACTGTAGAAGCCCACTGAAATATATTAGGCATTTTATTTAATTTGAGCCTTATTACCCATTTACAACAATTGTTGTTGGAACATGTTTTTAAAAACTACTGAATGACTTAAAATACTAATTCCTGCCTTTCAAAACTTTTAATGGCACCTGGTGCTACCAATAATTCCCTTCCTGGATTTTTGCTGAGAGGTACTTGACCTTATAGCCATCATCTGTATTGAACCATTGGCTTGGAATATATTTTATTTTTCTTGCACTTGAACTGTGTGCAGTGATCAGATTATGACCTCAATCATAAGATTTTTTTCTTGAATGGTTAAAAAAATGGCTTGAACTAGGTACAAATCTACATACTCTACTCTTCTGAAGTGTATTTTAGCCCTAAGTCCACCCACACTGTTTTGTTTACAGAAGGACCCACTCACAGAACCTTTCTTTTAATTTGTCAAATTAATAGTGTTCTATGTTTTTGTACTATGGAGATTGCTGAAAAAAATCTTGGCGTAATTGTAACAAACTGTGCTACCATCAGCTAGTGAATCTCTTCCTGCAGATGACCTTTTAGACGATTAGCTGTAGAAAACTTTTCTCTGTTGTAACATTCACTTTCTGAAAACCTCTTCCTGTTGGGGGACAGCCTTTTGAAAGAATGTTTGTCTTCTAATTATTGTTGCTTGGCTTGATATGTTTCTGATTCTCCAGCTGCTTCATTTCTTTTATTTCTGACACGATAAAAATGTAGAGGGTGGGGTGATGACAGAGTGGATACTGCAGTGGAGAGGGAGGGACAGAGCAGCTTCAAATTAATAGAACCATAGGAATTAATTGGAAAACATCTCCCTCCCTTCTCCTCCTCCAGCCAGTGCAGTTATACCCTACAATGTTTTCTAATCCTCTGCCCCGACCATTTTTTTAAGTACAGTTTTACTCTGAAAAGTAAAGGAGTACTTGTGGCACCTTAGAGACTAACCAATTTATTTGAGCATAAGCTTTCGTGAGCTACAGCTCACTTCATCGGATGCGACTCTGTAAAAATGTTTTCATGGGGATATACATTAATTGTTTCTCAATTATGTCTGTAATAAATATGCTTGCTCAGTACAAAGTAATCCTTTTAGAAATTCTAATGATTATTTTGCTATGTGACCACCTTCTGCAGCTGTGCGAATTAGCATGTTGAAGGATTGCTGGTTGATTGATATTTGTTCCTGACAACCTAATGTTCTAGTAACACTTTATAGATGTGTTAAGATTGAAATATTCCAGATAGACACACATTTAGTTCTGAAACAATCTAAACAGTTTTCTTTTAATACTCCTTTTTCATAGCTTGGTGATCCATCCATTTTCCCTGCTGTCATTGTGGAACATATTCCTAGTGCAGACCTCCTACACAATTATTCTGGCTTAGCTTGCGTTGATGAATCCAGTGACATGATTACTGAGAGTTCCCTGGATGTTGCAGAAGAGCAAATAATAGAAGATGATGACATCACCCTTACAGGTTTGTTACAGAAATATTTCTGTATAGTGTGGCAGAGGCTTACGGTGACAAACGTTTTCATGACAAAGAGCAAAATCAACCAAAGTTCTGCCCATACCAAGTAAGGAAGAAATGTATAAAACTATACTATGTTCTTTGTTATAAAGTAAACAATGTTCTGTCTAAATTGTATTTCGACAAAAAAATGGGTTATCAACTTAAGGAAAATGTGTCTGCTCTCTGTGGAAAATTTTGGACTTTCTGCTTAAATTTCTGCTTAAATGTTTTTTAATCAGTTCTGTTTGCCACATTACTGAGAAGAAAGCACTTTTGAGTTGCAATTTAGCAATATATTCAGTGTCTTTTACTTTCTAATATTAAAGGTTGATTAAAGTTTATTTGTCCTGCGTTAAATGAACAATAGTACAAATACAAGCCCCAGAAATGTGGTTTCAAACTCCAGTGAAAGTATTCTAAAAATGACAGTGATTTTATTTTATTTGAAATATATGAATTGCAAAAAGTTGTTTATACCCAATTTTAAAATTGCAGTGAGCCATGTTAGAGTAAGGAAATTAAAAAGTTTAAGGTTCTAGCAACAGGGGTAACCCCACATTGTTTGTTACACATTGTTGTGTGTCTTATGGTTTGCATTTTACAGATGGATGCTACACATTTTACCAGGAAAACAACAACAGAGAGCACGGGATGTACTCAGTGTGGCAAAGTTATGATGCTGTTGGAAAAATAAGCAGCAAAGCTCCCCCGCACCCCGCCCCTCACCCCCAACCACTTAATACTGTTAACTCTGGTTCCGCAAAATGCATCAAGAAAACATGAGATGGAGCAAGTAGAAAAGATTTTCTTAAACTAGAATACTGTTTTATTGAGTGCTATTAATGCTGTACAGTATAAAGAAGACAACACAGATACCACCCCCTAAGGTATATCTACGCTGCAAAAAAAAAATCTGTGTTTGTAACACAGATTAGCTAATCCTGGTTAAAGTGGCAATGCAGACATGGTAACTCAACTTCTACCTCAGTTTAGTAGCTGCAGTTCTAGCTCAGGCTGCTCTTCAGGCTTGAATTTGAGCTGTTGAGCTGAGTTGCTGTGTCTTGACTGCTATTTTAACCCAAGTTAAGAACACATCTTCTTTGAGTGCTTGCTCAGGTCAGTTCCAAGTAGGTGTGTGCACACAGCGTGCACAGTCACCGGAAGGTTTTTCCCCTAGCGGTACCGTCGGCTCGGCTCAGGCGCCCCCTGGATTTTCCCCGCATATAGGGTGCTACCAACCCGCTGCAACTCCAGTTCCATCTTACTGCCAGTGATGGTCGTTGGAGCGTTCTCTTCTCTCTTGTTTTCTAATGATCCCCTAGTGTACTCGTCGTTCCTACCTGAAACTAGTTTCAACGGTTAGTTAATGGTTTTTAGTAGAGTGTAGTGTAGTGTTTGAACCTCATCCCCTTGTTAGCCGGGGTTCTCTTCTCCGTTCCCTTCTCCTGCCTGGGGCGGGGCATGCCTCAGTTCCAGAACTTTAAGCCATGTAGGGTCTGCCAAGAGCTGATGCCAAAGGGCGACCCACACAGGTCCTGCTTAAAGTGTCTGGGGGAATCCCACCAGACAGACAGATGCAAGATTTGCAGAGGATTCTGCCTCCACACTAAGAAGGAAAAGGACCACAGGCCCTGCGGCCGCAGTCAAAGTCGGCCTCATGGACCTGGCACTGGGTACTTCAGCATCAGTGTGTAGCGCACTGGCTTCAACCAGGAGTCCTTTTCATGGCGATCTCTCTGTCGCCTCAGATGGACGAGCCTGTTCAGGGCCAGAGAGCTCTATCGCAGTGCGGACGTCACACTCTCACTGCAGGTGCTCAAGTCTCTTTAGTGGTGGCTCAATCCGCGAGTGGTGTGTGCAGGGATCCTCATCTCCAAACCGTATCCCTCGCTGTGTCTGGTTACCAACATGTCGGTGATGGGGTGAGGAGTGCACCTGCGAGAGCTCAGAACTCAGGGCCTCTGGTCCCAAGTGGAGCTATCGCTTCACATCAACGTCAGGGAGCTGAGAGCAATTCATCTGGCGTGCCAGACCTTCCAAGCTCATTTGAAAGGGAGATGCATATCAATCCTGACAGACAATACAGCACAACAGCAATGTTTTATATAAACAGACAGGGTGGAGCATGCTCCTCTCCCCTATGTCAGGAAGCTCTAAAGCTCTGGGATTTCTGCATAGCTCACTCAATACTCCCAGATCTCAAAATGAGCTGGCAGACCATCTCAACAGATTCTTCCACAAGCACAAGTGGTCCATTCGCCCGGACACGGTGAACAACATTTTCCAACTGTGGGGAGTTCCCCAGATCGACTTGTTCGCCACAAAGAGCAACAGGAAGTGCCTGCAGTTCTGCTCCTTCCTGAATCACAGTCTGGGCTCACGTGCAGACACGTTCCTCCTTCCCTGGAAGGACCACCTGTTCTATGTGTTCCCACCTATCCCACTTGTCCAGAAGATTCTTCTCAAGATCCAGAGGGAAGGAGCCTCAGTGATACTCATAGCACCAGCCTGGTCCTGCCAGCACTGGTACACCATGCTTCTGGAGCTGTCAATGGACACCCTAATCACCCTGCCTTTATTTCCAGACCTGATCACCCAGCACCACAGCCGGCTCCAGCATCCCAATCTCGAGTCTCTCCACCTCATGGCTTGGAAGCTGCATAAACCTGGTAGAGCTCATATGCTCAGATCCTGTTAGGGAGGTTCTCCTTGGCAGTAGGAAACCATCCATGACGTCGACCTACTTGGTCAAGTGGAAGAGATTCTTGATCTGGTGTTCGCAGAGTTGTACCTCTCCAATGCAATCATCAATTCCCTTTATCTTGGACTATCTGCTACATTTAAAGCAGCTTGTAACCCTGCCACCATTTCAGCATTCCACCCAAAAGTGGCAGACCGCTCAGTCTTTGCTAATCCGATGGTGGGTTGTTTTCTTAAAAGGACTGGACAGGTTTTACCCGCAAGTTCAGCAACCAACCCCAGCTTGGGACCTTAATCTGGTGCTTTCGAGGCTGATGGGGCTTCCATTCAAGCCCTTAGCAACATGCTCATTACTCTATCTGTCATGGAAGGTGGCTTTCCTTGTCACAATAACTTCAGTTAGAAGGGTGTCTGAGCTCAAGTCCTTCACATCCGACCTTCCTTATACCATCTTTTACAAAGACAAAGTGCAGCTTTGGCTGCATCCAGCCTTTCTCCCTAAAGTCATCTCTCAATTTCATGCCAATCAAGACATTTTTCTTCCAGTCATTTTCTCTGAGCCTCAGGCTAACTGCTGGGAGCAGAGGCTCCACTCCCTGTACATTCGGTGGGCATTGACCTTTTATATCAAGCAAACAAAGCCGTTTTGTAAATTGAACCAGCTGTTTGTCACGGTAGCGGACAGGATGAAGGGCCTTCAGCTGTCCTCTCAAAGGATATCATCGTGGATCACGTCCTGTGTCCGAGCATATCATGATTTAGTAAAGATCCCTTCCCCTGCGCTGATGCACATTCTATTAGAGCACAGGCCTCCTTGGCGGCATTCCTGGCCTAGGTCCCAATTCTGGAGATCTGTGGAGTGGCGATGTGGTCCTCAGTCTACACTTTTACTTCTCATTATGCCATTACCCAGCATGCCAGGGATGATGCAGCATTCAGCAGAGTGGTGGTTCAATCAGTGAGTCCATGAATTCCAACCCCACCTTCCTAGGTAAGGCTTGGGAGTCACCTACTTGGAATCAACATGAGCAAGCACTCGAAAAAAAAACGGTTACCTACCTCTCGTAACTGTTGTTTTTCTAAATGTGTTGCTCATGTCCATTCCAAGATCTACCTGCCTTCCCCTCTGTCAGAGTAATCTGGCAAGAAGGAACTGGAGAGGTGGGAGGGCCCATGAAGGTGCGACTCCAGGGGTGCCTGAGCTGACCCAACAGGTACCTCTAGGGGAAAAACCTTTCTGCGACTGTGCATGCGGTGCGCAAAAAACTATTTGGAATGGACATGAGCAACACATCTTGAAAAACAAACATTACAAGAGGTAGGTAACGTTTCCCCCCACACACACACACTTTCAAGATACCCTACAAGTTTATAGTCTAAATTAGACAAATGGTACAGCACAAGGAATAGAGCCCTGCAAATCTGTGCATATCCACTTTGTATCTATGCATATCTGCATCCGCAGATGAGGCTATCCGTGGACCATGTGTGCGGCTCTTATGTTGGATATATATACACTTTTTGTATCTGCATAGGGCTCTAGTTGGAAGGTTTCACTCAAAGCAGCGTTGAAATTTTTCTTCGTGCTTTTTATTTTTGTAAAGTTTTTGTTCCTTCTTACGGCTGGGTTCTTGGGCTTTGTTTGGAAGTTTTTAGATAAAAGCAATAGTCTGTGGCACGATGTGATTAGCCTTTTGGCATATATATACTTCTGAATGCCTTTATCCACCTGAGAATGCACTAATAGCCTTGAAATGCTTAAGCCAGTGTGGCTTACTGGTATAAGTATATGCTTAGAAATCTACGAAGTCAGTCTGGAGCACTAACAATACCTCACTTTGAAAACACAGAGGTTCTATATAGAATTATGCCAGAAAAGAATAGCTCAGAAAGCAACAGAGAAAACAAATGTCGGTCTTTTAAGCGAAAGGGTTATTTGCAACAGGACAGGTAGCTCAAATCTTACAGGAAGATATTGAGTATACCAGTCATGCAAAGTAATCCTTCAGCATGTATCTGTGAGGCACAGAGGGGGTGGATGTCTTGCTGGAATTTAGATTAAGGTATGAGTAGTGCCTGTTTCTTTTTCTTCTTTCAGTGGTGAGGTCCCAGACATGTATCTTGAGGACTTGGTGAATGCCAATAACATCACTTTAAAAGCCTAATCTACCAATCGGAACATGGTTTTGAACCTTGTTTCTATAGTCATAGTCTAATATTGCTAAATATTGAAGACCTGTCCTAAAATATTTTAGGTTACAAGT